AAAACTCAACATCAAACATGTAGTTTTTTGTATTTCAAATTTAACCGTCTGAAATCGGAATAAAAAATAAAAAAAAATAAAATTCAAATAACTCAAAAACGGTTAACTTCTGGATAGGACATTATAGGACAAAATCGGTTGCTTTTGACCTAATCTATCACCCCTTAACAGGAATACGTGACTACTACTACTACTACTACTACTACTACTATTATAGGTATAAAAGACTATATACAGGGTATTTTCAAAGTTAACAGCTTGCACGTAGAACTCGTCAAAAGAAGTTAATATACCAAAAATCACATATATAAAAGTTGCATAATAAGAGAGTTAGTTTACATTATTAAAAAAAATCATTACCTATCAAGTTAAATGGATACCGTTCTTACAAAGACTGTTAAAAATTGTCCTCATCCACGCAAAATCTTGCTCGGCGAATCCACGACTCTTGACAAGTTTCGAAAATAAAATCCTGGTGTCGTACAAATTAAAACACTAGCATCTTCAGTGCGCTGTCCTTCCAGAGTATTTACTGCCCCATCATGATACACCAACTCTTTCAAATAGTCCCACAAAAAAATGGCAAGGTATTAAATCCGGGGCGCGAGCAGGCCAAGAAATGAGTCCATTGCTCCCTATCCATCTATTCGGAAACTCATTATTTGAATGCTCATGAACTTCTCGTCTAATATGTGGTGGAGCCCCATCATGTAGGAACCACATATTCTGTCTCTTTAGAGGAGAATCTAATAATTGTAGCATATTGGGTCGAAGAAAATCTAAATAAATTTCACCGGTCAGTCGAGATGGAAAAAATTAGGATCCAACATTCATGCCATTTACCACGCCAGCCCAAACATTTAATGAAAATCTATGTTATGTTGAAAATGAGTTCTTCTTATAGCATGCCGATTTTCTACTGCCCGAACATGATTGTTGTGGAAACTGTGCACTTCATTTCGTGTACACCCTACTTCACGAGTATCCATCACGCCTTGACGACTACTGGTCAGCAAGTGACCTTTTTGTATTAATCTGCAACGTTGGCAATAATGAATCGGGTATAAATCTAGTAAAACTTGTTTGTGGCGTTTTGTTTTTTGTATGCAAATGGACTTTTCTAAATAAAAGAGCTGTTAGAAAGTACAAAATGAACCTGTAGCGTGCAAAAAACCAAAACAAAATTCGGCTCTGTCTACCTAGCGTTGACGGATCCGTCAGAATTCTGTCCTGTGCCGACATGAAGAACTTTGACATATTACTAGATAATCAGCTGTCATTCTCCTGTGATGGATACTGGTGGAATAGGGTATAAATATAGCCTAATTTGAACACAAAATTAATTTCGTAAATTCATTTCTGCCGAACTGTTCTAAAAGCTACTAGCAAAATGCAACTCTTCTGGGATGATCATCAAGTTGTCACGCTTGTACCCGTTGATAATGATATTATTAATAATAATACTAATCTTTATTTAATAGCTTCAAGCTAAACAATACAATATGTATAATATTATCTATCTAACACTAACACTATTTTCTACATAACTGCTCAATTATCTTTTGAATTTAACAAAATTTGTAGATTTGATTGCAACTGGTGAATTATTATAATCTATGAGGCCTTCATGAAATAAACTATTTTTGGGCAAAAGCAGACCGCACAGCAGGAACATAAAAATCAATCCTATTCTTTGCATTATAACTATAAATATCACCGACAAATTTCAAACCTTCCAATGTGTTCGGGATACATTACATTTTATTTTGTAGATGAGTATCATTGTATTGTAAAATATATTTCATTTGATACTTAATACATTAGTCAATTCTAGTATATCTTTTATTCTTGTGTATCTGTTACCGGTAATCTGTATAATTCAGGTATTCTATAAAATACCTGGGCAATGTATAGAATACCTGGGTTGCCCAGGCAATGCAAGAAATATTATGAATATTATTATCCATTACATACTTTACCTAGGTAATGAATACAATTCCTAGGGATTGTACGAGCCCCTTCCCACTTCAGTTGGCCCAACTATTGAAATCTTAGTTTTTTTCTTATCAAACACAAATAATAAAAATGTAGCAGGGTGTTATAGGTTTAAAATATGAACAGTGAATATTTTGATAATATATAGTAGAAAACACCAACTTTATCACTCCCTAATCAAATTTGCAGCATAAAAATAACACATGTTGCAATTACATCATATCAACCTATTTTCATTTCAATGCAAAATAAGTCTATAACGCATAGGTGGCTGTGAAAAATAAAAGCCATGACAATTGTTTTTATTAATCACAGCTGTCAGAATACGTTTAAAATAGTTTTGGGTAGTTAAGGTTTTCAAAATGGGTAGAGGAAAGGTTATTTGTGAGAAAATTCGGTTACTGATAATTAAATTTTTTAATTCTGGAAAATCAAACTCAGAAATTGCAACTTTGTTAGACTTATGGCGGTACAGTGTGAGAAATTTTGTTAGAAGATATAACGTAACTGGTTCAGTTAATATTAAGCCACGATATGTGAAAAAAAGTAATATCACAAATGCCGACCGAAGAGCATTAAGAAGAATAATCGTGAAAAACAGGCGTGCCAATTATTTACAATTAACTGCTCTGTGGAGTGACGCTGTTGGAAGGAGAATTTCGAGGTCCACAGCTCATAGAGAGGTCCACAAACTGGGATTTAGCACTTGCAAGGTAAGTTTTCTTATAAAAAAAGTAAAGTAAAAACCCTAAAGCTGCACAACTTGTTAATAGGCCAAAGAAAAGCCACTATTAACTCCACTGCAAAAGAAAAATCGGCTTAGATGGGCTAAAGAACATGGACACCTCAACAATGATGTGCAATACAATGGAGTGATGAGTAGTAGTAGAGTTATTCGCAAAAAAAAATTAAGCATTCCATGCTGACTGTCTGAAGAGAAAAGTGAAATTCAAAAGGAGTAGGAAAACTTCATTTTATAATGTGGATACAAACAAATATTTGGCAATTTTAGAAGAATCGCTTTTACCAGTGATGGAAGAATGTTTGACATTCGGCCAAGATTTTATGTTTCAGCAAGATGGTGCAGCGTGGCATACCTTAAAAAAGGCTATAAAATGGATGGAAGAAAATAATGTACCACTTTTGAAATGGGTTTCTAGCAGTCCAGATCTGTCACCTATTGAAACTTTGTGGGACGAGATGAAAAAGGTTCTACGACAACATCCTTCTCGTACAATCACCGAACTGAGACAAAAGCTTCAAGAAATATGGGATTGTTTTACACCAAATTCTTGCCAAAACTTGGATAACACTATGCCCCAAAGAATTTCAGCCGTAATAAAAAATAAAGGTGATGTTACCCAATGGTAATCTTTCAATTGTTGCTTTGTTAACTTCGCGCATTTATTCGCACATTGTTTATTGGTTCAGATGTTCTATTAGTTATCGGTCTAAGTGATTTCAAATATGTATTTTTTACGACTAGAGTGTATCTAAAATGTTTTTGAGAAAATAAATTGTTTTAGAAGTAAATAGTTTCGTCATGTTTAGTTTAAAAAAGCATATTTTGCTACAAATCTTGAAGTGGGCCAACTGAGGTGGGAAGGGGCTCGTATAGAGTACTTGCTGTTCCACCGGCAATGTGTAAAATAAATAGATCTTGGTCTAAACTTATCAATGTCAACCGGCATACCTATAAAATGACGGGCAAATTAAAGTTATGTTATTTAAAATCAACTTTATCAAAATTAACATTTTTTTACTTTCCTGCGGAAATTGTGTGAGCGTCGTTTCGTTAATTTCCAGATTCTGGGATATTAGACCCCCAAACACCAGTTTATGGAGTACTGCCCCTTTTATTTGGTACCATACGTTCAGTTGTTTTGGTTTCGCTGCTACCCCATCCATTTTCTTATGGGATTTTAACAAAATCCGTTCATTGCTCTCGTCTTTTACATACATTACCGGCTGCGCATTCGGTACCTACTGTGTGGAATACCTAGGCAAAGTATGAAACAAATTATATTTCATACATTACCTACACGTTTTAGGTATTCTATACACTACCTAGGTATTGTATAGAATACCGGATCACACAGATTGCCGGTACCATATCTATTACATGTTAATATTGTAGCGTTTTTCTGAGTTCTTTTGGGTGTTGATTAAAACACTGGATTCCACAAAAAGAAATGCACCAATTTATTTAAAACACAACACAACTAACTTTAACTTAACTAGATAGAACATTTATGCTCATCACTATTTATGTCTGACTACTTATTTACGAATTAAATTGGCGCGCTATTCACTCAACTCCGCCCACGTTTGCTCGGTCTCCCGTCGCCGTTCGTAGTTGTAGTTGCCATTTGGATGGTCGAATCTTCGCCGATGCTTTCACCATGTCGGGTCTTTGTCGTACCTGTATCCAGCAACTACTATTAGACTGATGTTTAAGCGAGGAGACTTGGACGGTATTAACTGATGGGGCTTGTTGGCCACCGGTCGACGATAGCCCCTTCACATCGACCTCCCTTAGTTTTCCGGACTGGCCGGATGAGGACTAGCACCCGTCTCCTAACGTGCCCTATTTTTCCACATTTCCAAAATTTCAACTTGCTGTTCTGGCAGCGTCATTCATCATCAAGTTCCTTAACAATGCGCTTGACGGACTCTTCGAACTCGTTTTCTGGTACCATCTGGCAGACTCGGACCTGCCTTTTATTTGTGTTTTTAGCGGCTTCGAATTCAAAGACCCGAGTTAGCGCATCTACTAGCTTAGGTGGATGTGCTAGTAGTAAGGCTTGCCTCATTTCACCATCACGAAGTCCACCCTGGAACGCTTGAACTGCCAATCGCTCCATTATCCTTTCCTGAACATCAGAGTATGATAATCGTACCATCCGCGCAATATCCGCTTCGAACTTCTGCAAGGACTCGCCTGACTTCTGGAACCGATTCTTTAATTGAGTATGGTAGACATGTTCTAAATGTGACTGGCCGTATCACATCTCCAAATGTCCTACTAGTTGTTCGTAGACCTCTTGCTCTTCGGTTGATGTTCTTTGAAGAATAGCTGCAGCATCTCGTAGGGCCAAAGTGAGTGCAGTTGCTTTTTCGGTCGATGACCAACCATTTGCATTTGCGGCTGCCTCAAACTGACGCCGGTAGACATTCCAAGCCGTTGTAGCATCAAATTGCGGCGGTTTCATTCGTAGATGACCAGCTGACCTAACAGAAGCTCCAAGCTCACTGGATTTTTTCCAACGGAAGTCCACGCTGTCGTTCGTCGATGGTCTGACGTCTAAAGCGGCAAACTTGCCTTGTACTTCTTGAATTATGTCCTACAAAGTTTCTAAAATCCGTTTTTCCAACTCGCAAGATTTTTCCATAATTTTATCTTCCAATTCTTTTTTTAAATTGGCGATATTTCCCCAAAACTTCTCTTCTAATTTGGCTGTACTTTCGTGTAAGTTCAAGAGTTTTCCTTCTAGATTGGCACAATTTTCCACGAGTTTTCCTTCTAGGTTACACCATTTTCCACGAGCTTGTTTTCTAACTGGGTCGAAAGGTTTTGCAGCATGAAAACAATATCCTCTGGTAAAAATGAAAATATCCGGGTCCTCGCCTTCCTCAATCAGTGATTTACGAAGCCGCTCCTGTAATTCCGCTTTCGTTCCAGCCGTGTCGCACTCTCTTTCTTCCAGCTCTCTTTTTAAATCGGCAATGTTCAAATCAACCAATCGCGCCAATCTTCCTTCACTGATCGATTTATTTTCACTAAATGTTCAATGATCCACATGAAAACACCTGACACCAATGTAGCGTTTTTCTGACTTCTTTTGGGTGTGGATTAAAACACTGGATTCCACAACATGAAATGCACTAATTTATTTAAAACACAACACAACTAACTTTAACTTGACTAGATAGAACATTTAGGTACACCACTATTTATGTCTGACCACTTATTTACGAATTATTATGTCGCGCCATTCACACAACTCTCTTCCCTCTCCCGGTCGTCGGCTTATATATTCCGCATCGCGGGTACTCGTTGATTCGAGAAAGTTCCGGTACGCCACATAGTCGCCAGTCCAGAACTTTCGAGCTCACTCTCGCACCTCGCATTGATCTCGAGGGACAGTTTACAGGTTCCCAACAGATGTCGCTAGTAGTCTCGCACCGAAGGAGAGTCCCTGGCGCGGTTCCCAACCGATTTCGCTAGAATCACTCAGTCTTGTTACAATATACATCTAAGAGCCTGATTTTGTTTTTTTCTCTGGTGAATCTATATCACCTTTCTGATATAACATGGAGCAACAGTAGTTAAACTAAGGCATGACTATTGTTTTATATATAAGAGTGTGCTTTGTTACCCTACACATTGAATTAACTTTTTTGGAAACTTTTTTAATAATATAATACGCATTGCAATTAAATGTTAAATTTCAGTCTATCGTAACTCCTAAATATTTATACATGTTAATCTGTTCAATCTTATTATTTTCAATTATAAATTTGTTGTGCAGATAAGTATACTGAACATTAAATTTAGTTTTAAGTATCCTACATCTAGTGTTATCCACATGAATACTAAGACTATTGTTCCGTAACCACGCATGTAATGTCTTTAAGTGTTCATTAATCATTTCAACCAAATTGTCTATGTTATCACATTCCATGAACAAAATAATTGCATCATCTGCAAACAGCAAATAGCTTTTACAATATCATTTATATACAGCACAAACAGATCAGGACCCAACACTGTTCCCTGAGGCACACCATGTCTATTTTCTCTTACCGAAGATAAGGAGTCTTTGTACTTTGTTCGCTGAGTTTTTGTTCCAAGTATTCTAAGAACCACCTTAAAACGATGCCTTCAAAGAATTCTATTTTATTTCTATTTATTGTCTCCAATGCTCTCCTAAGGTCAATAAACACGACACCCACAAAATGACCCATACTCAAAACATGTTTCCATCCTGAAATAACAGAACGAAGCGCACTCTCACATGAATGGTCCTTCCTAAAACCCGCTTGGTATTTTGTAAGTAATTTATTTTCTTCTACGTATTGACGGAAACAACAGTTTCTAGAAGTTTTTCGTATACAGGTACCAGATTAATTGGACTATGCTCTTAGCATTTTACTGTCCCACTCACGTTTTCTATAGGGATAACAGTTGTCATTTTCCAACCCTGGGGAGAACATCCTATTTCCACACTGGAATTTATAAGCTGGAGAAAGCGGTTGCCTATGACTTCAAAAGCCAATTTTCAGATTTTGGTATTAATTCCGTCAACTTTTATTTTTTAAATTGTTAACTGTTTTTCTTAGTTCCTTCATTTCAACTGTTTTAAATGTACTAAAGCTATTTGTATATAATCCAAAGCATTTTCCATATGTATGTCATCTATATCAAGTGCCAAATTATTCATGCTGTTCAGAAAAAAATCATTGAAACTCTCTGTTGTCTCACTTTCTTTGTGAACTGTTCCATCAAATCAATACCTTCCATATTTCTACGTCCCAATCCATTGCCTATAATATCCTTCGAACTTTTCGACATAGCCTTTGAATCTCCTTTGACATCATCTATTTTTTGTTGGTAATATACTTGCTTTTTTGTCTTATTAACTGAACAACGTTGTTTCTTTGTTGTAGAAAGATCACCCAATGTTCTTCCTGTTGTGTTATCATAGCCCTCTTGTATAGCCTATCCCTTTTTAAAATATTGTCATGTACAACAGTAGTCAGAATGAGTGGCGTACGGACGTGTTCAGTGTGCACGTATAATTTTATAGTAAACAGTAAGCAAATTCAGTGTAAGTTTTGTTAAAAGTTTTTCCATAATGTGTGTCTTAAAGTAAAGGATAATGTCAGTAAGTGTATTGCCGATTGTATGAATTTGTTTTGCTTCTGTAATGACTGTAGTAATAAAAAACCTAAAAATATCGAGGAGATTGGACAATCTTGAACAAAAAAACCTACAATGTGTTGGAGCAAACCAAGGAGTGTTTTGAGGTAGTTAAGACATTATACGATAAAACACCCAATGCAAGCGTGCAGAAGTGGAGTGACGTAGTAAAAGCCAAAACATCGCCTTTGGTAATTAAACCACAAAATTCGTCACAAAACAGCGTGAAAACTAAGTTATATGTGAGCCGGAGTCAGAAATGCGGCTAAACGGTGGGATTCAGATAGAATGCGAAAACGACGAGTCGATGCAAAAACTACACGAGGCTGCCTGGAACGCGCTAGCAGACTGGTACGAGATTCAGATACCAGAGTTTAAAAAATAAAAAATTGTTATTGTTGCGTTTACGATAAATACCTGAGGGAGAATGATATATTTATAAAAAAAATTAAAAGACATAAGTGGTACGAGCGAAATAAAGTTTTTTAGGAAACATAAGCCTCCTAGAAAGGAACATTTTAATGTGTTACTGGAGGTCTCAAATAAGGCACTTAATTACTTTATTGCTCAAAAGAAATTACGCTTTGGATGGGATAGTTTTCCATTGTATGAACTTTTTAGCGTTTTAAGATGTTTTAAATGCTGGAAATATATATGCATATCGCAAATCTCTGCAAACAAGACCAATTTACACGTGTACTATGCGCTGGCAATCATAAGGCAGATCAATGTACAAGCAGTAATGAATGCTGTAGTAGTAGTGAATATATTAGCAATGTCTTAAAGATAAAACATATAGAGTATACTCATAAGGTTTTTAATCGAAATTGTATTTCATATCGGCGACAAGTGGAAAACACTAAATTAAAATATGAATAGCAATCGACGAATGTCCAAGAAATTTGTTTTCCATGAATGTACACTTGATGAATTGAAACAGCTGGTTCTTGATAAGAATCCTCTTATATTGTGTTAATGAAACCGGTATTACGGATGACTCTGAGGATAGCGAGCTGAATATACAGGGTGACTTTGAAGTTGAGTCATTAATTTTCAGATAATGATTGTAGAAGGAAGATAAACCAAAATATGTGTGTAAAAATAAAAAAAATATTAAAAAAAATTTTTACCTTGTTTTATAAAGTATCCTCCCGACAAGTATTTCAGTGCGGACCTGTATTTGATCGTGAGGTCCCCTGTGAGGTCTTAAGTCACCTGATTCACGAGCCCGTTGTACTACATTAACAAAGGCACGAGGGGTTGGTTGCACTCGATTGGGAAACCGATCCGCATAAACATGTGCCATTTTTTATTTCGTTTGAGCCACGCAACAGACACTATTCACACGCGACTGAAACTGACTGTATGTATAACTGAACTGAATTGTAATCGTAAAAACATCGTTCCAAATACTTTCGCTTTTTTGTTTCAGATGCGATGAACCGTTGTTGCCAAACACGAACACATGATATTATTGAGACAGGGCGGTACTCAAACTTCCAAAGGGCTATAACTTTGTTACTTTAATTTTACCAGAAAAATGGTAAAGGAAAAAACATTTCTTTTGATCAGATCTACACACTGTTAAAATAAATGACTCAACTTCGAAGTCACCCTGTATATTAATGGCTATACTCACTACATTACCCATGCTGTCAGTTGTCAACAGGGGGGAGATAATTTATGTAAAAAACAATATTCCTTGGACAGTTGTAAAGAATATCGTACGTCACGGTCATTTTTAGTTCTTGTGGTTAAATGTTAAGCTATAATTGGAAGATACAATTGTTGGATCCCTGTATAGATCTCCGAAAGAGTATGGACTTATTTTTCCAATTTTTTGACGAATTACTGGAAGATGATTTAATTACAACTCATCAAAGTATTTTTGGGAGATTTTAATATTCGCTTAGAGATAGAGAACCCAAGCCAAAAAAAGATTAATGAATATTGGATCAGATGCAGGGTTTACACATATAGTTCAAGAGTGCACTAGAGTGACAAATACGTCAGCCACCCTGATTGATTTAATTGTGACTAACAATTACTTGCTTGAAGAAATCACGGGTGATTTTCCACAAATTTCAGATCATCGAATTATAGGCTGCGTATTGGATGTTCAACATGAGGTTAAAAGAGACGAAGTGAAAATAAGAAAGAAAATTTAATGAGTAAAATAGTAACACTATTATAGCTGAACTTTACGAAAAAAATTAGGACTGTTCATCAAAGGATGGGGATTTATTATAAGAAAAAATCATGGAAAATTTTACAGAAACTGTAAATAAAGTAGTACCTCTCAAAAAAATCAAGCCCGCAAGCAACCGTGGATTAATAGGTTCGTAATCCAAGCCCGAAGAGACAGGGACGAAGCTTTTAAAAAGTTTAAAATAACCAAATTAAATCCAGAAAAAAATATGTAATTACTATTGATCAATGCAAGGGGTATAGCAAAAAAGTGTGGCAAACTTTAAAGCAAGTCGTAAGTAGCAAAAACAAGAATGTTCTGTCATATGATAATATTGAATTTGAGGAAGATGCTGATTCTGTTCAGGAAAATTTTAACAATTTTTATGCAAATAGCATAAATGAAAAAGCCGACAAAATACCAAAAGTTGCAACATCATTTCAATTACCGCAGTTAAAGGATAGTCTATCAAGCTTTAACACTATAAGCATTGATCAACTCAATAAAAGGGTAATGGGACTTAAAAACAGGTCAACAGCTGATGATATTTGTAATGTTAAGTTTTTAAAAAACTGCTTTTTGTGTACTCGGATACCCTTTGCTCCACCTGATCAATTCATCCCTTACAACAGGAATAGCTCCAATAAAAACTAGGGTTATAGTGCCTATTCCAAAAATGTCCAACCCAAATAAACCAGCTGAATACCGACCCATTAATTTGTTATCAGTGATAGACAAAATTTTGGAAACTGTGGTTTGTGCGCAGTTACGGGAGTTTCTGGAGGTAAGTCCGAAATGGCGTTCATACATTCATGACGGGAATATTGTGTTAAGTGTATTCATCGACCTTCAACGTGCACTTGAGTCTATTGATAGGAAAAGACTGATCCAGAAATTGCAGACCTATGGGATTACAGACAGTGCACTAAAATGGTTTATGAACTACTTGAAAGACCGTTGTCATGTGACGAAGATTAATAACGTGGCGTCAAATTCAATTGATAGTGAAATTGGGGTACCTCAGAATAGTGTGTTGGGTCAGCTTTTGATTTTACTTTATGTCAATGACTTAAACAGGGTTTTAGTAAATACATTTCTGAGCTTATTTGTCCACGATACATTGCTTTGTGTGTACGCTAAGGATTTTAGACAAGTAGTAGATACTATAAACTCAATAGATACTGGAAATTCTGTACAACTGGTTATGTGTCGATAGGCTTAAGTTAAATGTAGAAAAAACAAAATACATGGTTTTTGGGACAAAGCAGAACTATAATACATTTTTAGAAAATTAATTTTGTTTTAAGATAGATAATAGTTAAATTGAAAATGCATCTGGAATAAAGTATTTGGGCGTAGTTTTAGATCATTGATTCCCAAAGTAGTCTATATCGACCCCTAGGGGTCTATGACAACCTGCAAGGGGTCTACGTCAGCGAAAAAAAATTTGGGGGTCCACAATAGTGGATCTCAACACATACATTGATAGTACCTGTTTACTTACATCACACTATCTTATAATATCAAAATATATACATTATTTATAAAAGTACCTATGAAGTAAAAAATTTATTATATATGTTTATAAAATTGTGTAAGTTGCAGGATGTTGGTATTCGCTTTGTGGTCGCAATACATTTTAAACTTGTAAAAACCTGAGAGTTGCAGTCTCAGAGCTTCGCTACCTTGCACTGACTTGTTCAATTCGCCACTCTATAAATGTGGGACAAATACGTTTATTCGTTTCCTGAACCCTGAAAAGGAAAGTGCTAAGAGAATATTTTAAAAAATATAAACAGATAGTATATCACACAAATTATAGTGAGTCAGTGTTATTTTGTTTGAGAGTGCTGGAGAAAAGTAAGTACATTATTTTTTATTAAATTTTAGTTTTGTACTCGTAGTTAGCAAAGATAGATAAATTACGCCAATCATGACTTTAGTTAGTTTTGTACTCGTAGTTAGCAAAGATAGATAAATTACGCCAATCATGACTTTAGTTATTAGTAGTTAAATATTCAATCATGCAAAATTACACGAGTACTCCTCAATAGTTTCTTTTTGAAAGTTTTAGCAATCGGTAATATAATTACAGTGCAATCTCCGTAATTCGAGCTAATTGTTGCAAGATGTTCGAATTATGGAATGTTTTCGGAAAAATCAAAAAATATTTTTAATATACAGCTGCTGGATTTAATGTCTTATTTAAATAATTTAATTTTGCCCACAGATGACTGATGCCATGTCCGAATCTAAAAAGAAATGTAGACAGTACAGTGTTGATTATTTGAAATTTGGCTTCATTCCATCATTGCCGGACAAACAATCGTCTATGTGCCTTTTATGCAACAAAGTTTTGGGCAATGACGCTATGAAACCATCTAAACATCTGAGAAGATGCCACCCTGATAAAACAGAGAAAGATTTGAAATACCTTCAAACACTCAAAGATAAATTTCAGAAGAGACCTACACTGGACAGAATGTTCGCTTCGACGTCACAAAGAAATGATGATGGTTTGCGGGCGACTTACAATATCTCGTTACTTATAGCAAAATCCGGAAAACCGCATACTATCGGAGAGAAGTTAATTTTGCCAGCCGTTGAAGAGGTTTTAAAAACTGTTTTACACAAACCTGCATCTGATATCATTAAAAGAATTCCCTTAAGCAACAATACTGTTGAAAGACGTATTGATGAAATGAGTTCTGATATTGAAAGCTTCTTATGTAATTAGTTGCAAACGACCCATTTCTCTATACAACTCGACGAGTCAACTTGACCTGATAATGCAGCAATATTATTTTCATATGTTCGTTTTATTATGGATCAAGAAATCTACGAAGAACTGCTCTTCGTAAGAACTTTGATAACCGACACTAAAGGTGAATCAATATTTCATGTTTTGAAGGATTACTTCATTGAAAAAGCAATTCCGTTATCAAATATATCAGTAGCTACAGATGGAACACCTGCCATGGTTGGACGTTATCGTGGATTTATAAGCTATTTAAAACAAAATGTATCAGGGGTGTTAGCAATACATTGCGTCATCCATCGACAACATTTAGTTGCTAAAAATTGAGACTATTTTAGAATTTCTGGATACTAAAGATAAAATTTTAAAAGAAAATTTAATGAAGAGGAAAACAGACATCGCCTATTTAACAGATTTGTTTACAAAATTTAATATGGTTAATTTGCAATTATAAGGCGACAGTTTAAGTTTGATTAAAACAAAGTCCATCTTATCAGCGTTTCTTGCCAGAGTTAAACTAATAAAGCAAAATACTGGAATTTGTCACAGACAAGCTGCCAGGAAGGCGACGTTTCAACTTACGTTCAACATTTAAATGCCCTCTATTCAGATTTTTAATCTAGGTTTGAGGATATTTTGACTATGGTAATACCACCGTGGATAATTAATCCATATGGTGACATAGAAGAAACGAATGTCATAATACAAGAGGAACTGATTGAACTAAGTACAAAGGAAGAATTTAAGGTTCAGTTTAAAAACGAAAAAAAGAAACAGACTGGACATCATTAGCCGAGGAGGTTTAAGATTAACCCTTACAAAATTGACGCCAAATGTTGATAATTTATTATTAAAGCATCAGGTTCATCCTTCTCACTAAAAATATTGACTTATTGCTTATGTTATTTTATTTATAGTTTATTTTATGGTTATTGGTGTCTGACCAATAAATGCCCGCATTGGAAATAAGTGCCCGCATGGATTTTTTTAAAGAACCCCCTTTATAGAAAATATTTTTTTTTAAATTATTCTGAAAATTCAAGGACACTAAAAGTCGTTAATTTTTTGCCTATTTTTAGATAACTTAAACGTATAAGAAGCGGAATTTAATCAATCTAACAGTGAAATTATTGTAGAACATACGTTTATGTTATAATTAATAAACGAACTCGCTCATTGTACTATTTAAGTAAAAAACTTTTTTTATTATTTTTCACTTTTTTTTTATTTCATCCCTCTTATTTTTTTTTTCAATGCGGACACTTATTCCCAATGCGGGCACTTATTGGTCAGTCACCTGTTTATTTAATGTTACGTATATTTTACATAACAGATACAAAATTTTATTTTGAGTAGTTTTAATTTAAATTCAATTAATAAATGTATAAATTAACATGTGTTTTTACTTTAAGTTTTGAACACTAAACTTCACTACAGTTAGAAATTTACAGGAAATCAATATCAGGTAAGTAGGGGGTCTACCCAACACTGAAAAACATGGCCAGGGGTCTATGACACAAAAAAGTTTGGGGAACTATGTTTTAGATACTCAACTTAATTTTTCATTGCATGTTGATTATGTTAGTAAAAAAGGTTAGGAGAATATCTGAAAATCTTAGTCACTGGAGTCGTCTTCTTGTATACGAGGGTAAATGAAATACAAACGGTATTTATGCCCTTATTACTGTACATTTTTCAATATGCCCTCCTGCGACGTCTACACACTTTTGCCACCGCTTTGGAAGCTTCAGTACTCCCTGTTCATAGAAATTTTGAGGGCGAATTGTAAGCCAATTGTTCACGTGCTCCTCGACGTCTTCATTGCTCTCAAATCGTTGCCCTCCCATTGATTCCTTCATAGGCGCGAACACAAAACAGTCATATGGGGATAAGTCGGGGCTATACGGAGGATACTCAAGGGTTCCCCAGCCTATTTTTCCCCAGTGTATCCGTTGTCAAAGCCGCGGTGTGAGGCCAGCGTTGTCATGGAGGAGAATCACATCCCTGATAGGCATGCCTCGTCTTTTGTTCCGATAAGCGTCACACTTCCATAGTTGATACCGACTTCTGATGAAATTTTTTCCACGGTTACCCGACGATCACGTTCAATAACCTCTCGAACAGCACGAATGTTGTCACCTGTAAGGGTTGTCCTTGAACGTCGATCATGTGTTTCGTTTTCAACTCGTTCTCGTCCGCTCTTAAATTCTCTCGCCCTCGTAGACACTCGATTCTGGGACAGTGTACTGTTTCCAAACTGGGCCCGCAAACGAGTTAAAATTTCCGATGGTTTAACGCCTTCATTGGTTAAAAACTTTATTATTATCCGTTCTGCAATAGATGAAGGTACTTCTTACTCAGTCATATAGCTGTGCTGGCGGCAGCAGCGCGCTTGCCCGCCAACCATACCAGTTCCCCCACTCCTCATAAAACAAGCATCTACTCCACACAACATAATGTAACTAGGAATACCATAGAATTCTGAGAAGAATCGCAGAATTATCGTTTATATTTGATTTACCCTCGTATAATACCATTATATATCCACATTTTAATTATTGTTCTTCATTCTTGCTATCTTGCAAAAAAAAAACTGATATTCAAAGGCTCCAATTACTACCAAATAAGGCTATGCGTACTAATATTATTTTGTACACGTTATACACCTATTAATTTAATCTTAAAAACCCTTGGATGGCTGGTCAAATGCCTTACTTAATTTTAAAATCAAAAGTCAATTATTGCCTGAATACTTGCAGGAATATCTAATACTGAGATCAGAGAGGCATGCATATAATATTAGATCACGTAAGACTGGACATAGAATTCGCTAGAATATCCCATATGCAAAAATGTCTTTTTAGTGATGGTTTGAGACTTTTTAATGCATTACCTATAGAAATTAGAGAAGTGACGTCTGCAAATACGAGTATATTTATTCGTGAGGTTATCTCGCATTTGCTGTGGTTGCATTTACTGTGATTTTAGAAGGAAGTAGCTTTAGGGCTAAGAGTAATAAACATTTCATTTCATCTGGTGACCACCAGCTTTTGTTGCCCCATTTGACAGGTATCTTTCAACTATTGGTGCACAATAATCTAACTTTTCTGTTACTATTTTTACTAAATTGTTTGCTATTTCATCAGTACTGATAAGTGTTTCATATCTCTGTAATATTCTGTTTGACTAGTAAGCTCAGCTGTAGAAAGATTAACATTTAGTATTGTATGGTCCATTATTTTAGGAGTAGCATATCTCACTTT